ACTCCCAAATCCGATCACTGATCTCCTCACAGGCAGCAACCGGGCTTTTGGGGGAGTATGAAACCAAACAGGGCCCCAGCCTTGGGGTAGGGCGGAGTCTACTCAGGATGAGGTCAAGACCTGCTCATCTACAACAACTCAGGCCAAGATGAGCAAGATGGGTGTGGCCGAGGGTGAGGCAGAGGGGGAAACAGGGTTGCAAGGCTATGACCAGGGGACTGCAGGGCATTCAGCTCTAGGCCACGCCATCCATGGACTGGTGCCTGGGAATGTGCCAGGCCTGCCTAGCAGCAGGCTCCCTGCCCACCGCTCGGATTCTAGCATGCTAGCAGGCACAGGAGGGCGGCTGTCCGCTAGATGCCCGTCTCCATGGAGACCAGCTTTCCCATCTCCATTTCCTGCCCATTGCTTTGGCTCTTCTTGGGGAGGGCGACGACACATCCATCTGAGTGAGCAGGAGGAGGCTGCCGCATTCTTCTCGGCCCAGCCCTCCAGCTGCCTGGTGCCCCCCTCGACCCCCCGGGACCCCGGCTCTTCACTCTAGGCCTGGTGGGACCGAGCCCACACCCTGCCACCCTTCCTTTCCAGCTGTGAACCAGCAGGGACCTCATGCCAGGGCCCTAAGCTCAGCCCTTCCCGTTCACGTGCTGCTGAATCATTTGAAAAAAATGCATCCCGCTCCTGGGAGGGTTCGCTGAGAACAGTGTGGCTTTGTGGAGGAGGCTGCTGCTCAGCAATTTCTCCGCCAAGGGAGCCAAGGGCCTTGAGAAAGCTAAGCTCAGCCCTGTAAACCCCAAACCCAGGTAAGCTGGGCAGTAGCCTGTCAGGGCTGGAGGCAGAGAAAGCCTAGAGAGGTCCCTGGGGTACTCGGTCAGCCCCGTAAGCCTTCTCCACACAGCCCCGAGGAAGGGGCCGGGGACGTGACAGCAGAGACGGATCAGGGTCCTTTCCACTCAGCGCCTACTGTTGGAGAGGGTCAGCAGCATCTTTCTTCATCCACTGGTTTCTAGGAGCAAACCTAAGGAGCCTGGACCTTGGGACCTGGGCTTCTGTGCTGAGCCCTGACAGGCCCTGCCCACGAGTGGGACACTAAGCAAGGCACGTGGGGCTGTGAGCAGAGTCAACAAACCTTGTCTGAAGGGAGATAGCAGGGCATGGGTGCCTACTTCCTGTCCCCTCATTAGTCCAGTGTCCCCCACCCTGCCATGCCCAGGAGTATGGACGACATTCAGGACAGTTCTCAAGTCCCAGCCAGATGGTTCGGGGCCTGCAGTTTCCCCAGCCCGGCTCCTCTGAAGACTGTCTGGCCTCAGAGATCTGAACTGACCTCGCGTCACGTTCTACTTGTCGGAGGGACACGGCAGGCTAGAAGAGGTCTCTGCCCACTCCCAGCTCCACACTACCTTTCTAAGCTCTCTTCTCAAAGGCGTGGCATCCTGGGTGCTGCCTGAGCCAATCGTGACTCAGTGGGATCATCTAGGTCATAGCTGACTGGTTCGCCAGTGGGGAGCGAGCGGGGCAGGCTCACCTGTGGTATGCCCCAACCTGAGGGCAAGCACGGTACCTGTCTACCACTTGGCCGGTCCCAGATTTGAGTCCATGTAGTTTGGAGAAAAACGTGCGGGGGGGGTAGAGACATAGGGTGACCAGGAGTCTGATAAATGCAGTCCACAGCAGGAATAAAGATCCGGCTCTGCCCCCCCTCCATGCGAGTACCAGAAACACGACACCAGGGAGAGCAGCTCGAGGAGGTGCATGGCTAGAGCCTGGGTTCTCCTGCTTCCGGCTGAAGCTGCCTCCTCCCCATCTCAGTCAACTGGAGGCCCGGCAGGGCAGCTTATAGGACTGGAGTATGAATATGCACTGTTCCCCCGACCCGGCCAGTATGGCCATCTATGTGAACCAAATGCTTCAGGAAGGGTTTTGAATGGTACCACAGGAGCCAAAAGTGTCCACCCCCCACCGCCCTCCCCCCCCCCGCTGAATACTTGCATCAAGAACGAGGGAGCTGGTGACAGACGGTTGGAAGCTGGGCATGAGGGGAGGAGACAAGAGCGTCAAGGCCCCCTGCCTGGCACCCAGAGTGGCAGAGCCTTCGTTCTTGTCTCTGTGGTGCACTGGCTCCCTGGCTGTAGGTGAGAAGGGTGGGGGGGCTGGGGAGGCTCCAGGTTGCACCCAAGGACTTTGTGTTGCCACTCAGAAGTCTCAACGCTACCCAGAGAGTGAAAATGGGGTCCACACAGACTCCTGAACCTCCGAGGGTGAGGTGGGAGGCAGCCATGACGGCTCCTTAGGGGATCATTGGGAGATTTTATTTTCAGGGGGGAGGAGATTCTAGGAATTGGATTTACTAACCCCCTGCCACTGGCCTGGGTCAAGGCTAGCCCCTCCCCTTCCCCCTTTAGGCTTCTATAAGACAAGGGGAGAGGGCAGGACATCTCACGCTTGCTGCCAAGGGGACAGTGTAGGTGTCACTGTCCAGGCAGACATGAGTCACCTTCCACTTCTCAACACCCATCCCGTACACCTACTTTTAGCTCGGTGTAGCCAAGAAGGAGCGACTCCTTACTCAGAACACGGGCCACAAATACCCGCTCTGTAAAGGGAAACACAAACAATGGGCTCCGGGAAGACGTGTCTGCTCACTGGGCTGCGGCTTCCAACTAAGTTGGGAGGGCCCGGTCGTGCAATGTGAGGTCCAGTTGTGAGCGCAGCAGCTTCAAGCCAAGGGATTGCCACAAGAGCCGCTGTACTCTTCGGGACTGAGGAGATGATGCAGGATGTCCATGCAACCCTGAGCATCAGCGGACAGTCAGGCACGAGGCGGGAACAAGGGGGTGACGACCCGAGAAGCAAGAGGGGGGTCTCAACCCCCTTGTAGGAAGCTATGGGAGTCCAGCCAAATGAGCAGGGAGGCAGAAGACAGGCTCGGGTTGCCCAGAACCCCACACAGGGCCAGTGTCTCACATCTTGGGGCCGGCCTAGCCCCCGGCCGACGCTTCTCACACAGGCTACTGGTTGCTTGTGTTTTCAACTAGCCCCAAGTTGCCTGGCCCTCACGTTGCCGTTCACGGTTTAGCTCCCGGGACAGAGTTGGGTCGGGGTTGGGGGACAGAGTCTGGCGCTCGGTGTAGACGAAAGACTATGGGAAAAGCGGATGGCCCTCTTTCGGGAGAGATTCGGGAAGCAAACGGGTGGCAAGCGGAGCCCCTCCCACCCACGTCCCAGCTGCCCGTTTTCATTTGCAGCTTTCACAAGCATTCTAAACAAGAGCTGGCGCCAACGCCGGGGTTAGACTGTGAAGGCGCTTCTCAGCACCAGACCTGATCCGAAGGCACTGGCCACATAGCTCTTTGCAGAAAGGGGCGCAGACGCACCCGGGATCCTGGAAGGCAGGCTCTGAAAGCCAGCAAAAAATATATCTATATATGCCACGGTGAGCAGGAGCAAGCAGGGGTTCTGGACATGTGGCTGGGTGTCAGGAGCTAGGCTAAGACCACAGCCGGGGGCGGGGAACCTCAGCCCCATGGAAAACCGCCCATGACTGACCGCGTCCAAGGCACATCTGTGTGCTAAAGGGGTTCACCCAGGGCATGTCTGAGGAGGACACGAGGATGAAGAAAGAAAATCAACACGCGGCAGAGGACCGGTTTTCAGCTCTCCCCACCCCCACCCCTAGGTCGTGGATTTGGCTGACATACTTTTTTTTTTTTTTGGTTTTTCGAGACAGGGTTTCTCTGTGGCTTTGGAGGCTGTCCTGGAACTAGCTCTTGTAGACCAGGCTGGCCTCGAACTCACAAAGATCCGCCTGCCTCTGCCTCTCGAGTGCTTGGCTGACATACTTAAAGTTGTTCATTATACCGTCTACAAAACACACAGGAGACAAATATGGCCATTTATGGACCAACATTCCCAATGTGTCAGGATCAAATCTGATCAGTCAGGGTATCTGCAAGAAGGCCGTGGAAGGAAGACAGGAGGGGGAGAAGGGAAGACATGAGAAGACCCTCGGAAACTAACAAGGAGCCACATCAGCCGTCACTGCCTTAGTCAATTGGGTCTCATCCTGCTTGGTCTACTATGACCCCATCCTCTGGGGCAGACCCCACGCCCACCCTACCAATGCCCCAAAACTGTAGTGTTGAGGATTGAACCCAAGGCCTCATGCATCCTACTCTACCCTGCTCTTCCACAGCTGCTTTGGGGCTACCAAAGGGGAGCTGAGCACTGGCCAGAGGCTGGCTGCCAACCGTCAACCACCCTCTAGGCTCCGCAGAGAAAAGTGTGTCGGTCACCGCCTACCTGGTATGTGCTCCCCAAAGCCAGGTGGCCACTGGTTTCAGGAATCACCGTCTACCCAGCATGTGCTCCCCCACATCCAGGGGGCTGGCTGCTGGCTCAGAGTGATCCCTGTCTACCCAGCATGTGCTCCCTGCAGTCAGGTGGGCTGCTGGCTCAGAGTGATCCCTGTCTACCCAGCATGTGTTCCCTGCTGGCTCAGAGTTTGAAAAAGCTAAGGAGAAGGAAAAACCGAGCACCCAGGTCCCCCCTCCCACTCCTACCCCCCAGCACTGGCCCCATCATCACGGGGTGATGGAGTCACCCAGCTGGGCTAGCTTGTCCCCCAGCCATAAAGGTTCTAAGGATGCGTATATTGTGAAACAATGTTGGCTTTGTCTTTCTCTCTGTGTGTGTGTGCCTTCTAAAGGAGAGAGGTTTTAGCGAATGGCTCTGACATTGTCTCAGTCAGAGGCCAAGCAAGCAATGATGTATCTCTTGAAACTGTGCCCGTCTAACCCGGAATGCCCCTGCAAGTCCAGGGTTTGGGTAAACCATCTGAAGTGCCGATTTACCTGGGGTTTCCATTAAGTACCCACAGCCCGTAAAAAACAGACTCCGTCTGCAGAACATGAGCTAGACTCACTCTCTGGACCCCACAGGGATTCTGCTTCTGCAGGAAGGAGTTTGCCAAGACCGGCAAACAAAACAGACTTCAGAGGTTCAGGCAAAGCAGCCATCAGGGATGTATTGATCTCGGGTGGGTCTGCCTTTAAAATGTTTTTTGAAACTCTTGCAAGCGTTTCCTGGCTTTTTCCAAAAACTGCTTGTGTAACTTGTTTTGCTCTAAAATCTGCTGCTGAAGGTCACGAATCATCTGGCTCTGTTTGTCCTCGTCGAGAAGGCTGCTGTCCAGGGGAGTGGTTTTCTCAGGGACTGGGACCTGGACCCCAGAGGGATAAGACTTGAGGATGGCCAAGCGCATCCTCCTACGCGCCCTGCGTTCTTCCTCGAGCTCAGCCTTGTAATGGATTTCCAGGCTCATGTTGGGGTGCTCTGTCAGCTCCAACAACGTCTTTTGCCTTCTCTGCTCCAATTCTGCCTTCTGTTTTTGTCTCAAAGCCATCCAGCTTGCTACAGAGCCTGCCTGTTTCTCCAGGTAGGGCTTAATAAGGCTTTCTTCCTCCACGGCGGCTGACTTGGGTGGCTCCTGTCCTGGCTCTGGGCTTTCTGAGGATGGGCTGTCTTGTTTGCCAGATGCTCCTGCCTCTGGAAGAGGTGGCAGGCTCTCACTCGTTAGTAGGTGCTTTGCCATCTGTTGTTGGTATCTGGGGTACTCGGCCTTACTTAGCAACTGTTTCAAATTGGTTTTGGACCACATTTCAGGGGCCTCCATATCTAACAGGCTCCCGGGCTCCTCAGCCGTCGTTCCCGCCTCCTCCACACTCTCCTCTCTCAGGGTGTCGCTGCCCTCACCCTGAGTCTCGGAGGAGCTCTGCGGCTCCTCTGGATTGTGGTCCCCCTTGAGCCTCTGTTCGAGGTGCAAATTCAGATGTTTCTTCAGCTTCCTGTTCGTGTTAAACAATTCTTCGAAGGCTGACTCAATGTCTCTGTGCCACTGGTTCTTACCGCTGTACTTGCACGGCGCCCCCTGGGACGTGGCCTCCTGTCTCAAGGTGGGGCTGGGGGGCAACGGCTTTTCTAAGTCAGCTGTTTCGCCCTGCGGGCTCTGGTCTCTGGAGCTCTGATTCAGGATCTGAGAAAAGCGTGAAGTCCCTCTTCTCATCGGTCGCCTCCCCTCCCGGGGTATCTCCTTCTGTATTTCCTCAACCCAGTCAGTTTCCCCGGCGCCGGCTAAGAGCGGGTTGAGCTTTGCCCCTGGGTCTGCCCCTCGGCTCACCCGGGGTTGGTAGCCAGCACTGCTCTTACTCGAAGGCACACGCTTCCCTTTACCCTTCTCACTGGGGTTTGGGCCCCGGGCTTTGGTAGAGCCCCGTCTCTCTGAGCACTTCGTGGCTTTCTTCCGGGACTTGGGTTGTTTCCTGGGGCGCTCTTCGCGGAGGCGGCGGCCTTTCTCCTCCCTAAAGGCTCTGAAGGCTGCTCTGCTTCTCTCCTTAGCCCTCATGTGTTTCACTGAGCCTCTCTTGTTGGGTTCGTTGAAGCCACTTCCCATGGTCTGCCCCGTTGCCTCATCCAACAGATGGGCTAAATAGAGGCGTTCCATGTCTCTGACCTGCTGCAGCCGGGCCTCCTGCCACTCGGCCTTCAACTCCTCCGCCAGGCGCTGCAGCTGCTGGGCTTTCCACTGCTGCAGGGTGACGTCACCCTTGTCTCGGACCTGCAGCAGTTCGGGCTTCTGCCTCAAAACTAAGGCTTCCTCATCAGAGAAGGGGCTCAGCTGGGCTGACCACTCCACGTCTCTCTGCATTTCTGTGAGTTTTGCGACACACTTGCAAGCAGAGGTGGCTGTAGCCAAGGAGCAGAGGCCGCAGGGTCTGGGGCACCCGCAGAAACGACAGGAGAGTCACGGCAAACCTACAAGGCCAGGAGGGCACAGGCCACTCCGGACAGCTGGAGAAAAGTGTGCAAGGCCCTAGAGACAAGTGTACATGGGATTCTCACTGCAGGGTACACTCAAAATAAAACACACCCACCAGGTCTCCCCTCTGCCCCTGCCCACGAGCACCCATCCCCTGACTCTTGGCTTCTGTCCCAAACACCTTGGGTAAGAGCCTGTGGCAGGAGCCTGTGTATAAGGACGCGTGCTCATACATCCGTGTTACACACCTGTATGCGCAAGAGCAGGGGTACGCATGAAGGGGTATGTATAGATATGCATGCTTGTTACTTGGGTCCAATGCAAGCCAAACGGGGATGCAGGCACACGTATCTATGTGCATGCCTTTGAGAAGAGGGGTACATATGCGGGCATTGTGTGGGCAAATGCATGCTTGCTGCATGGCTCCAATACGAACCAGACAGAGAGGAGACATGTATGCTATGTTGCATCACGATGCCCAGCTTGTCACCGCGAGGTGACTGCTATGTGTCCCTGTGGCATCGGAAGCCCATGTTTTGCCAGGCCTTTCTAGAGAAGTTGTGCTTCCCAAGGGGACAGAGTCCTGCGGCCTCTGGAACATTATGGTCTGCACCAAGAGTCCCTGACTTCCCTTTCTTTCAGTCTCCACAGAAGCAGGCTGACCAGCTTAAGCCCATGTCAGTCATGGCAACCAGGAAACAGCTCCACATGCCCATTACAGATAATGCCACAGTTCAGGCTCCTCTGAGCACTGGGCAGCCATCATGCGGAGTTCCTTGTTTGAGACAGGGAATCTACCTATATATCCAGGTTGGCCTAGAACTCGTAATCATCCCGTCCCCCACCCCCACCCCACCAAGTGCTGAGATTATAGGCATGTACCGCCACACACGGCATAGACCACTTTTTTTTGTCTAGTAGCCTTGGGAGGTAAAGAACAATTATCATCCACAGTTCACGGATGGGGAAACTGAGGCAGGGAGCAAGGGGAACACTGAAGCCAGATTACGTAGTTGGAAAGAAGCTAACAGGCCCTCTCTGACTGGGTCGATCACAGGGTCTTTGGCCAGCCATGGCCCGTCACACAATCACTGACATGGACACATACGTCCTTGTGAAAGCTCCTTGCTCCAGACCAGGCAATTAGAAACAGTTTCTTAAAACAGCGACTGATGTTACGCCCACCAGACGGCCAACCACCATGTTGGCCAAAAGGAGAGAATGAAAAGAAACCGGGACCTCAAATCAGGGCCTAGTGCAGGGAAGAGTTGTCTTCTTCTTTTTTTAACAAATGGTTAACAAATGCGCCTGCACTCAAAGGAGAGGGACCCACGCCTATTCCTCACATCATATACACAAGCCAACTCACAGTCGGTCCTGCATAGACCTAATGTCAGGTCTAAAACTCTAAGTGTTTAGAAGAAAAACAAATATATATATATATGTATATATACATATATACATACATAAATACATACATATATATATATGTATATATTTATTCATGGCCCTGGCTGAGGCCAAATTTCTTAGATGTAGCAGGAAAAACCAAGCAGTTAAAGAAGAGGCTGACAGACGACGGCAGGAGAAGGAAAGCAGTGTGTTATGCGACACCTTCTTCTGCAGAAGCCGAGGTTTTTCAAGGCCACAAACCCAGGAAGAGACTCTCGTCCACCACATTTGAACAGCTCCGTAAGAAGACAACCTAGCCGGGTGGTGGTGGCACACGCCTTTAATCCCAGCACTCTGGAGGCAGAGGCAGGCGGATCTTTGTGCGTTCGAGGCCAGGCTGGACTGATAGCCTCCGAAACAATACAGAGAAACCCTGTCTCGTAAAAAAAAAAAAAAAAAAAAAAAAGAAGACAACCTAGCGGTAAAAGAGGCTCTGCGAGATGGCTCTGCAGGTGAAAGAGCTGGATTTGAAAGCCTGGCAGCTTGAGTTCAATCCCCAGGGTCCCGTGAAGGAGAACTCTAAGTGCTGGGAGCTGTCCTCTCTCTCACCTCTGCATATACACCCCACTCATAGACACGCAAAAATAACACAATACATACTTTTAAGAAATACAAATACAACTGGAGAGATGGTTCAACACCAAGGCTGCTCTTGCAGAGGACCTGGGTTCAGTTCCCGGCACTCACTTTGGGGGGTGGCTCACAACAGTCTGTAACTCCAGCTCCAAGGATCTGACACCTCTGGCCTCCATGGGTCACACGCACATCTCACCATCTGACCCCTATCCCCACCCACCCTCTCTTCCATACCCCCACCATCCCCCACCCAACCCCCTTCCCGCAAGCCCCGCCCCCATCCCACTCCTGCCACAACATAATTAAAAATAATTTTTTGAAAGAAAAAGATACAGATAGGCACTTCACCAAAGAACACAGATGCGTGGCGAAGACAGCGTGCGTGAAAAGATGGCCAAGAGCCACAGGCGCCAGAGAAAAGCAGGCTGTTACTGCTTCACGCCCTGGAGGGTGGCTACGATCAGAAGGGGTCAGGGAAACCGGAACCCTGCGCCCCGGCAGTGAGTGTGTGGATGGGGCGAGGGGCGTCGTCCCGCTGGCAGCTCCTCTGGGTCTGTCCCTCTAGGTCTGGTGAGTGACCTGGAATTACCACTCTTCGGCCGAGAGCAAAGGAAGCTCAGAGGGGCTGGATGACTCAGATCCCAGAGCAGCTGGGTGTAAATGTGCATCTCACCCCAAATCCCGGGCTTGACCCACACAGGGAATAGCCGCAGGGGTGTTGCAGTGGGAGGGGGAGAGGGTCTGTGTTGCTGTGACTGTCTCTCTGATGGCACTAATCCCACCTCAGGTGTGGAGTCTGATTCTGAGCCTGGAGCTGCCGCGGCTTCCATGCATCCTAGCAGGTGACAGTCACCGGGAAGTGCCATGTCTCCACCAAGCGGAGGTGGCCCCCCTCTCACGGAGAAACCTTTGAAACGCTATAGCTAGTTCCAGAAATCAGGAACCCACGTCCCCACGACAGCTGCCAGCCACATCTTTCTGCTCTCTCTCGAGCCCCTTTCCCATGCTCTCTTGTGACCGGAAGACAAGGCTCCCCTTGGATTCACGGAGGGTCCTTGCTGAGCCTGAGATGGCTGGGGAGAAGCACCTGTTGTTCACCTGCTGCCCTCACCAACAAGTCCCCAAGTGTCACCAACGGCCACCAGCAGCACACACTGAGCCAAGTGGGGTCAGCCACAGGCTGCACGGAAGAGAACCCCTGCCTTTGGGCAGTCGGGTGGAGGAATGACCCCGCGCCTGCCCCCAGTGCAGTCAGGAACCAAAGGAACATAATGAGAAGCCACACGAGGAGCCGTAAGTCGGGCTCACACCAGCCAGCCTGGTCCTGGTAGCAGGGCATGGGGTCCTGCAACTGACTTGTGTAGGTTCTGTCTCGCTATGCAGAATTATCACGGTGCCCACACCAGGTGGATGCCCAGGTCTGCCTACTCCACATCTCCAAGAACGGTCACACAGTTGTTAAACAGTGGCCACCAGGCCCTCTGCTCCCTGGGGTTTGTGGTGATGATGCTGCCACACCTTCCTACTTGCAGCTACACAGTGGCCAGGGGGATTAACCCCCCCCCCCCCATTGTAGGTGACAATGAACATGACAAGGACACTCACTAAATAGCAAGTACAGCATACACCACTGCCTTCCCCAGTCACAGGTCAACAACAGCGGGGAGAGCTATTACCTCTAGGGATGCGGGGGGGGGGGGGACCCTGGAAGCATGTGCCTTTTTAGAGATGCTTAGCCAGGCCAGGTGATGCTTGTGAAGACAGGGCCAAGTGGAACTAGCTGGGAGGACTCAGCATCCGTCATCACAAAGCCAGCTGGTCATAGAGTACGATGACTTCCTGCCACTACCCAGGCTTCGCACTTATTTGACCCCCCCATCTGTCTGGAGATGAACCATGGGGTAGCTGAGACACAGAGAGGTTAAGTAACTTGCCTAAGGCCATCCAGCCCCGACCTAGCATGCACCAAGGTCTCAGCAGACACGCCCAGACCCAGGTCCCTAACCTGCAGGAGCAGGAGTCAGAGCTGGGAGCGAGCCATCTCCAAGATGCATATCAGCTCTGATGTGGGCTGTTATCTGTTTCCTGGTTGCTGCCTGGGACGAGCTCGTGTGTTTTCTGGGTGTTTCCATGGGACATAATAGTGCCTCTGAGTTCACCACATGTTCTGCCCGCTGTCATTCAACAGGATGCCTTGGCTCTCTCCCTCCCCCCCAAAGCAGGTAAAGCCCCTAGGATTTCTTACAAGCCTTTCTGCCTCCCACCCACCTCTCTGCCCTCGCCCTCCCCAACTACAGTACACTGAGCCAGCCCAGCCTACACTGCCCCCCCTCCCCCCGGTTATCCTGAACAGCAAGTCTCCAATTACCGTCTACAGCCAACAGGCTCTACCGTAGGGAGATGCAGCCCCAGCCCGTAGGACAGCGGCAGGGTCAGGTCACGCTGCTCCTCCGGCTCTAGCCCCAGTACCCACTGCTGCCCAGCACCCTAACTGTGCCCATACGGGTTCTTCATGAGCTAGACACGCCCCTCACCTTGTCCATTCTGCATCGCAAAACCCTGCAACTCCCCTCCCTGGGACACCCAGCAACAGCCTGCGCACTCAGGACTCAAGACGCCAATGTTTTTTTTGGAAACAAACAGAAACAGTTTTAGATTAGGGACATCAGCCAGAGGAGCCGTCTCTATGCTGGTGTCAGCGACCGAAGCTCTTGACCGTAAGCTCACACGTCCTAAAACACAACACTCATGGGGTGCTGATGACCCACGAGTAAGACAGGAAAGCAGCTGCCAGGCTCCAGCTTAGGCGGCTCTTGTGCGGTTATGTTGGGATTGGGTCTCATTACAGGCTAGTCTGTACGTTGTAATCCTCCTGCCTCCGCCTCTCCAGGGCTAGGTCTTGTGCCACCAGGCCCAGATCACAACATTTTTCAACAGATTGTATTCCTAGCCAAATCTGACAGGACAAGATGCAACAGGAATGCATCCAAATCTCACCAAATTCAGCAATCAGAGAGTAGAGGTTTGGGAAACCAAAACACTGCCTGTGGCTCCACACGGCCACCCAAAGAAGGGGTGTGATGTCTACCTGCAGTCAGAGAAGACTAGACAGCCAGCCCTGGACAGCCCAGACAGACAGACAGCCCTGGACAGCTTTGGACAGCCTGGACAGCCCAGACAGACAGACAGACAGCCCTAGACAGCCCTAGACAGCCCTGGACAGCCTAGACAGACAGCCCTGGACAGCTTTGGACAGCCTGGACAGCCCAGACAGACAGACAGACAGCCCTAGACAGCCCTAGACAGCCCTGGACAGCCTAGACAGACAGCCCTGGACAGCCTAGACAGGCAGCCCTGGACAGCCTGGATAGTCCAGACAGACAGACAGACAGCCCTGGACAGCCTAGACAGACAGCCCTGGACAGCCTAGACAGACAGCCCTGGACAGCCTGGATAGTCCAGACAGACAGACAGACAGCCCTGGACAGCCTAGACAGCCCTGGACAGCCCAGACAGACAGCCCTGGACAGCCCAGACAGACAGCCCTGGACAGCCTAGACAGACAGCCCTGGACAGCCTGGATAGTCCAGACAGCCAGACAGACAGCCCTGGACAGACTAGACAGACAGACAGACAGCCTTGGACAGCCTTGGACAGCCTGGACAGCCCAGACAGACAGACAGCCAGCCCTAGACAGCCCTGGACATCCCAGACAGACAGCCAGACAGACAGCCCTGGACAGCCTAGACAGACAGCCAGACAGACAGCCCTGGACAGCCTGGATAGTCCAGACAGACAGACAGACAGCCCTGGACACAGAGGGAAAGAAGGGGACAACGTGGAGACAGCGCTGCTGTGTCCTGTGTCCGCAGCCAGGATGCCTCAGCAGCAGAAGAGATGGCCTGTGCCACTGAGAATGGCACCTGGATCAAAGGGGGCTCAGTCGACATCTAAGATAAGAACAACAGCCAAGGTATAGGAAGCTGACGGGCAGACGTGAGTCGGTGATTCTGAAGGGATAAGAAGTGTCTCTGAATGGCCATGCGACAAGGTCACAGGATATTAATTAAAGGCGCAAGAGGGACTGAGGAGGCGGCTCTTGCCGTCTCAGCATGAGGAGCTGAGTGCGGGTCTCTGGCACCCAAGTCAAGTAGCTGCTGGTCACAGCAGCTCATGCCTGCGGCCGGTGTAGGAGAGCCAGAGACCGGTAGATAGACTCCCTGGAACCCACAGGCCAGCCGGTGTATCCAAACTGCTGAGCTCCAGGCTCAGGGGTAGAAAGCAAACCAGGAAGATGTGGACCTCTGGCGCCTACAAAACCAACCAACAAAATGAATCAAAGGCATAGTGAGAATCGGTCATGGCGGCGCACACTTTTAATCCCAGCACTCCGGAGGCGGAGGCAGGGGGATCGCCAGCCTGGTCTACACAGTGAGTTCCAGCACAGCCTGGTCTACACAGAGAAACAGCAGCTGGCGGAAGGATAGCTGGAGGAAGTGTCGGAAGAGCAGGGGGGACCCAGGCGTGGAAGGAGAATCCGGGAAGGATGTGGATTAGGAGGAAGGCAGGGTGAGGACACCAACAGAGACCCCAGAAGGACAAAGACAAAAGCCAGAGGCTGGAGAGTCCGGAGCAGCACGGGCTCCCGGGGAAGGGTTGGAGTGCCACTGCCTCAGCCCCTCATCTGTGAAGTGTGTGACGGCAGCCTCTCCCGGCACTGTGAGGACCGCCCAGATGCTCAGCTAGTCGCGTGGGGACCGGGTGCTACTTACCGTGTGCGTCTCCAGATAACTGAGCCAGACCACCAAGAACTCATTACAGGGAGGCAGGAGTTGACTGGGCGAAAGGAAGCACTCTCCACAGGGCTGTCTTGAAATCATTGGGTAGGTAGTGAGACACCCATCACTGGAGGCATCCAAGCCAAGCCCAGGTGAAATAAACATCAGAAATGTGTTTAACCCCATCTTCCCTGAGTTCTAGCTTCTATGACACAGTGCGCTCCCTCTTACCCCATTTCTGGCCCTCCCTCACCTAGCTTAAGGGAGGTCTAGGAGGGGCCGTTCCCAAAGCTGCCGGGCTGGGTGCTGGAAAAGCCGTGCCGCCGGCGTCTCCCCTAGGGACGGGCACGGTGGGACAGGAGTCCTGCCCAAGGTCATAGCAGGTTTCTACCCAAATCCTGGGGGCGGGGCTACGTGCTGACATTTTTATCATATCCTCATCCTCCACCAGGACCCGATGGTTCTACCAGCTAAAGGGGATGAAGGACAGGTTCATATTCCTAAAGACAGACCTTGTAGCAAGCTGACCTCCGACCTCAGGGTCCGGACGTCTACCAACCACCAGGGGCGCTTAACAGTTGGCCCAGCTGGCGCCTTACTAAGCATAGGGGTGATGCTCACCATAGGTCAGGGCACCCACACCGGCCACCACTCCCCTCCCGCTCCCCGACACGGCTGCCGAGTCTCCCCCGGCCCCACTCTCAGTAGCTAGTCTCCCTCACAAGACAGGAACTTCTAAATCTGCATCAGAACTTGGCCTGGACATATAGGCCCTCCCCAAACAGCTGGGTACAAAATGAACCTCCCCCTGCCTCCTAGAGGGGAAGGGGCAGACACCGCAATCTTACAATCTTGTCCTAAGGTGGTCCACGTGGGGTCTCAGGGGTCACTGACCCAGGTTAGCTGGAATCACCACTCCCCACCTCTGCCAGCAGCCCAGTCTCCGCCCTGGCTGGTTAACTAGGGGAGGCTGTTGCCATGGGAACAGCAGAGCTGTGGTGCTGTGACATCACCGCAGGGGTGAGGCCAGCCAGAGGACAAAGTTTTCAGGTGAGAAAAGCAATCTCTCACCCGCGGATTTACCTAAAGTGGCTGGGGAGGGGGTGGGTGGGTGAGGGCTTTTTGTAGGCGCCTGTTTGAAGAGGTTTTGACACACTGCTGTATAGAAACACCTCAGGTCACAGGACACCCTCCCTGGCTCCAGCCTGACAGCTTCATGAGCTCCTCAGGTGGTGCTGTCTACCCTCCCTGTCAGAACGTTAAGGCTGATACTTCAAGTCTCAAGGACAAATGCTGCCCGTACCTTGTCCCGTAGAGACACAGGCTGGCTGGGCTTGGGCCGAGGGAATATTGGCTATTTCCCAACAGCTCTGGGACTCTGACTGAGGCAGGAGCAGGACTCATTGCTTGGGGCGTCCTCTGCCACTCATAACCCTACGGAACGCACAGTCAGTGTTTCTAGGACTGGAAAATGGACCGCCGAGAGGTTGAGCTTGTGTGGGACACGGCTTTGGTAAAGCTTTCTTCCGTGGAGGAAAAGTGAGCCTCAGGGCAGGCTGAGGCGTGGGACCCTGGGAGAACACAGGATTCAGAGAGCTAATCCTGGAACCTAGGGCTTTGGCTGGGTTGGATGAACTCTGGGAGGGGCTACTGACCACTGACTTGGGCCCAACCTATGAGTTATTTCTCCACCAAATGCCCTCGGTGTTTTTTTTTTTCTGGTCCCTTTTCTCACACCCCTGTGATGGCTTATTCTATGACAACCTGACTGAGCTAGGGGACACCCAGCAAACTGGTTAATCGAGAGCTATTTCTGGACACAATTAGCTCTGAATAGGGCCGTCCTGGGCTACACCGAGCGAGCTTGAGGACCCAGGAGAAGTGAGCTGCTTTCTCTGCTTGGGCGTGGCATCCATGTGCTGTCTCCAGCCATCAGGGCTCCTGGCCCCTGTCCTTTGCCCTCTAGATTCCCTCCCCCCCTCCCCCACTCTTCAGTCTTTGAACACAGACCAAAAACCCCCGCCACTGCTTTCTGTCTGGCCGTGGTGGTGGCTTGCAGTCTACCACAGTGGGAGCCCATTCCCATACCAAACCCTGGGCCTTCTCTCCCTGTTGAGTCTGTCTCTTTGGGGAGGAACTCACGAATACAGCCCTGGGATTGGCTCCCAGGTCTCTCTCTCCTTCCCCCCTGGGCTCCCATCAATTCTTTGGCGAGAGGAAAGTTCCTGGATACAGAATACGCTGCCGCTTTAGCAGGTGATTCCTGATGGGTGGTTCTTTCCATGGCCCCAAACTTGCTCCCTGCCTGCAGTTTCCACTACTACCCTCTCTAGGACTGTTCTGGAACGATGATGTCGCCATACCCAGCCCTGCTCACACCTGCGCTCTCCTGACACCTCTTGGTTGTTCTAAAGCCCCGAGATGTGCGTTAACCCAACCAGCAGGCTGGGGAGATGACGGTTCGTTTGAGAAAGAGCTCGCTGGGCCAGCATGAGGATGTATGTTTGATCTCCAGCAGAACGTAAAAAGTTTGGGGTGGGGTAGGGGCACATGCTGGTAACCCCTATGCTGAGGAGGTCCAGACAAGGGGTGGGTCCCATGGGGGTCATTGGTCAGCACCAACAAAAAACCACCACCAACAACAAAAAAACTACAACTACCAACAAAACCCCCAAACAACACAGGCCACACTGGCCAAGACAGTCAGGTCTAGAGGGTGTCAGGTTGATGACTGCCTGTTATTAGACACTCACAGCAAGTACTAACTTATAAAAAAATACATGTATAATTCAAGTCCTTTTTAGGAAAATGAAAAAAAAGATGCACTTGCAAACAGGAGTCTGATTCCCTCATATGTCCTCACTTTTACATTTTAATTTAAAATACCCATGCCAGGCTGGGGGAGGGATGCTCAGAGTGCGCTCACGTAGGAGGTCCTGAGTTCACCCTGCACCACACGGTAAACAAGTGACAGGCATCATCCGTTACCTGCGGTGCACCTGACACTGCACTTACGACCCCAGGTAGTGTAACATCTGGGGGCTTCCAGCCTTTCCCCCAGACAAGCGAGCCTGAATAAACTTGTGACCAAATGCTTAGTGGTGTCTGTTACCAATCCTCTCAGAAAAAAAATCCTGGATACAGGCCTATTTTTATAATCCTGATTGCTCTGCCAGCACGCCCATGGGAGACTCCAGAAGGCGTACATTGAGACACAACAGCTTTGTCACCAAGCCTCCACAAGGACACCCAGCCTCGTGTCCCCCAAGGAAGAGCACCCTGATATCCAAAGCCGGGGTCCTACTCCTGTTGAGCCTCCAGGGACTCCTGGCACTGCCACTGTACTGGCGACCTTGGGCAAGTCACAGACCTTCCTGCTCCGTCTTCTGAGGGTGGAGTCGAGAGAAGTCTAGCCGGGGTTCAAGCGTCCCTGCAGGAAAAGGGGGCACCAGGTGCTCCCATTCACAGCATGATGGGGAGATGGTCTCTCTGACACCGCTGTCCCTATAGCTCCTGGGCAGAGGCCACAGGCCTCTCGGGAGTTGAGACTCCTGGAAGGAGACAGAGGGACTGACACCTGCGGAGCCCATCAGGGCATCTTACCATTGCCTTTCAGAACCTGACTCATCAGCACCTTCTTTACCATATTTTCAGGGTTGGTTAGACAGGCACCAGCCTTTTGCTATAGAAGAGGAAACAGAGTAGGGACTCAGCCATGGGGCTCTGAAGCTGGTGGCCCTCTCCAGATACCTCCCTCTTCCTGAGTTAAGAACCATCTGGCCAGTGTCCTAACCAGATCTCTGTTGTAACCAGAGGTGCCTGGCAACGGCTGCTTCTGCAGAGATAAGTTCTGCTATATCTACAGAAGGTGGCTAAACTCCAACAGGGTGCCAGGAAAGACAGAGTCACCTACAACCACAGGTTGGAAAGGGGACAAATAATGTCTCAAGCCACATGCTGACCCTCAAGACACACTGACAAGACCTCTGGGACTCTACACCCACAGTGAAACCTGCACATAGAACCAGGCTTTTGCCATGAAGCCTCCCCCAACCCTTCCCCTCTCCTCCCCTTCCTTAGGAGCCCAGGGCAGGTTGGGAGCCTTACTATAACTTTAGAGTCAGCTTGGAGAATGCACACACACACCCGCCCAGGCATAATTTCTCAAGTCATCCTGCTTGCTTCTGGAAACAACAGAGCAGGTAACCAGACGAAAACTACGACAGCACACAAACCAGAAACCTGTGCCAGTGTCACTGAGGCCAAGGACAGAAAAGAATTTCCCTGCAAAGGACAGACTGTTGAGGACTCAGGCTGTGAGGGTCTAAACAACTTCTGTCATGCCCGACGTACACAGGGAAGGACCAACTCCTCTGGAAAAAGGCACAACCTGAGGCTACCCTGGAAACCTCAGATGAGGTCACCTGTTCTCTGGGTGCTGTTAACTAGACAGAGGCCACCTTGGAAGGGTCTTGGGATCAGATAAAAAAACACTAAACCACATGCTTTAAATACTCGTGTGTATGCTTGTGTGCATGTGCTTGTGAGTGCAGGACCCACCGAGGCCAGAAGGGGGCATAGGATTCCCCTGGAGCTAGAGTTACAGGTAGTTGTGAGTCACCCGACATGGATGCTGGGAACCAAACTCAGGTCCTCTGGAAGAGCAGTCAGCCCTCTTAACCAGGGAAGAGGCTGGCTGCCTACTTTTCTGATTGTGGGGTCCCACCCTCAGGCTGGGCTGATCCAAGGCTTTCCCTGAGGCCCCACAGTATGGAGAAAGAATGTAGTCAGTTCCCTATCTAAAACCAGGAGTAGGCTTGATAGAGCCAGTGAGAGCTTGGGGCCAGAACTCTGCGGGAGTCCACTTCAAACCCTGAGAAAGAACTCAAATCCGGAGACTGACTTATCGGTCCCAAGGCCGCCAAGTACCGGCTATCATGTCTTGTGTTCCCCTTGTGCAACACTGTTTGATTAGCTTCTTGCTATGTCTCATTGCATGATAGCTTTCCGCTGACTCTGTCCCATTCCCCCACACGCCCACAAATAGTATCTAAGATGCTGTACTTCATAAAAAAAAAAAACTCGCTCGGCATAAGACATAGCTTGTGCAAGACCTCCCAACCCCCGTTTCCTGCTTTATCTTCTCATCTCCCGTCCCTCCTGTCCCTCCCACTTAGGACCCCGTCCCTGAAGAATGGTCTTCCGGTCCCAGTCAGGTGGCAGGATTCTTGGGCTTTTTGACCTGGGTACCTACTCCACACTACAGCTGAAATGTACGCCTTGCAGAATGGACCCACTCGGGATCTGTTTCTGAATCAGAGATATGAATCTGTCCCACAGCAAACAACCAAGCTCGCATTCAACTCTCTGCCAACAAGCGGAGGCGATCTGCCGCTCGGCGCTCTGTCCCTCCTTCATGGCAGCGCGTGCCATTCGTGGGACCCCAGCCTGCTCCCTGGGACCACTCCAAGGCAATGTAGGCGTGGATTGGCACCAACCTAGAAACACTCCTGAACCTCTTCCTTTTAAAAAAAAGTTTACGAGACAAGAGTTTCTCTGTGTAGGCTTGGCTGTCCTGGAACTCACTCTATAGACCAGGCTGGTCTCGAACTCACAGAGATCCGCCTGCCTCTGCCTCCCGAGTGATGAGATAAAAGGTGAGCGACACCAACGCCCAGCTTTGATCTTCCTATCCAGACATCTACCCACATGACCATGAGCCCCTTCCTTTATCAGCCTGGGTCTTAGGAGTTCTGTTTTCTCTTCCTTCCTTCCTTCCTTCCTTCCTTCCTTCCTTCCTTCCTTCCTTCCTTCCTCGCCCCCGCCCCCTCTCTTTCTTTCTTTCTTTTTTTTTTGTTTTTTGTTTTTTTGTTTTTGTTTTTTCAAGGCAGGGTTTCTCGTTATTGTTTTGGAGGCTGTCCTGGAACTCGTTCTGCAGACTAGGCTGGCCTCAAACTCACAGAGATCCGCCTGCCTCTGCCTCCCGAGTGCTGGGATTAAAGGCGTGCAC